GTAAAGGGCTGTCTACGGTCCAGTGTAAATCCGTGCAAGGGTGTACCAAGGTTCAGCTAGACAGCTTCACAGGGAGCCACAGACAGGAGACTTAAATTAGAGCTTCCCTCAGACAAGGCCATAATTTGGGATGTGCAAAGATGGCACTCAAGAACAACATCCCAGAATCTGGCTCAGAATGTCCTTCCTTGTTGCTGGAGAGCAAAAGGAAGGTGCTTTTATTTTCAAGACACTGACCCTACTCCTGCCTAGGCGCTGAGAAGTCTGATTGTTGGTTTCAGAAGGAGCAGGATGGGGTCTGCAGGGACACTGACTGCAAACCTTCTGACTACTCTTGGCCCGGAGAGCAGAATTCCAAGATCTCCAATATAGTTCTGTGTGTGGTAGCTTGCTTTCTGCCTTCCGAGCCCTGAAGGCAGCCAAGAGGAAAGTTTTAAGAGTGAATCTTACATGCTGATTCTTACAGATTATTCCACATCTGTCTCTATAGATTATTCCATTCCTGTCTCATTTCATCAGTCCATAGTTTCTGAAGAACTGCAAGGCATTCCTTGGTCACAAAGTGTCAAATACTGCCAGATCAGAATGGTGTAAAGAACTCTGCAAGGTGCAAGGCAGCAGAGAATCAGATCCCTAAGCTTAAACTTGATTTCTCACCAGGCTCTTTTACCTTTACAATCTTCTGATTGCTAATTCACCAGCAGAGCAGGAGGAAGCCAATGTATGATCCCTGATGTTAGGGGTCATGCTTGATGGAGTGAAAATAAAGAGATCAAATACAGTTTCATTTTTGACCACACTGAAATTGCCAGTGATTGAGAAGGAGGAATGGATTTCTCATATGATGTCGGATATTGTTTTCATATCAGATAAACTATACAGCTTACATCGGACAGAAAATCATCTTATGTGACCACTGAGGAAATGGCAAAGAGATAACTGTTTTTTGTCATGTCATATATATGTATGAAAGGTCTCAGAGGGGTAGTTGTGTTAGGCTATGTCTAGATTACGGGGGTTTTCTGGGATACCAGAGGTATCCCGGAAAAACTCTGCCAGATCCAGGGAATGCATGTGCTCTTCCACTTTTTCTAGTGGATCATTTTTCATTAGTGGATCATTAGTCCACATGAAACTAATATCTTACCTCCAGCAATAACTTTCATCAGAGTAAAAAAATTCCTAATGGGGAATATATGTGATGTTATAGATGGGCTAAAATTCCTTCCTTATCCGTTCCACTTACCCATATGATGTGAATTTCAAGATCTGATTATCCTTATCCTTTAGCTTGTGAATTAATGTTCATAGAATTATCCAGTTCTTTAAAGATCAGGCACAGTGCTTGGTTTGGATGAGTTTCTGTTACAATGAATTCTACAGTTTAGTACTTGTTGATTCAATCCTTGGTTTTTAAGGGACTAGGGCAATAATAATGGCAGGCTATTGGTGGCAAATAATATGCTTATGAAGATAAATGCTGATATAAACTCTGTTTAGGTACATTTGCTTCTACTAAGACCTGTTAGTTAAATGCACTAGATAAGGTTTTATTGCACTTTAACTACCAGCATATGATACCATTGTGTTATGAAACCAATCTAATCCAGACATAGGGTCGTGTCTCTTGGTTAATTCATAAGCTTGGGGAAGTGTTTTCCAGCTCTCTGAAGTTTTGTGTTATGTCCTCTGGATGTCACTGTTCTGCTGTTGTGCACAGGACCTGTTGCAATTGCAGCTTTGACACTAGCATTCTTCAAAAGGGACTTGCACTCCGCCCCATAATGCAAACACACAGAGTCTATAGATTAGTCTTCATTTATTAATTCTTCTCATTAGCACTACCAATTAACAATACCACCTTCCCTAAATTAAAAATCACCCAGTTGCAGAATAGCTGTAGTGAAATACTTTAAAAAAGTATTTCCCTTTGTAAGAGGGAAAAGGGGCAGGTCTAATCAATGTGAGCTTTAATTATAAAAACAGAAAAGAGAGGTGGATGCTGGCAAATCAAGGTGACTATTAAAGTGTTTGTTCTCTCAGAATCTTACATGGCAAAATGTAGGTTACATTGCGGTTCCCTCTACTCATATTTTTGTCAGCTTCCTTGTGCATGTGAAAAGAGAGTTTGCACGGCACATTGTGACAGTATTCTCTATAGATTATGTGCCAGGTCCCCTGAGTATATTTTATTGCTGGTCCTTCTGTAAACTCAGTACCAGCTGCTTCTGAATACTCATAATGAAAGAGTTTCCTTCATTACACCATTCCCTTTCAATATGTAGATATCTAACCTGGTCTCGCAGAATTTGAAATAAAGAGCAAGGTTTTTGGTTTGCTGGTGGAAAATCATCACCAATAGATTTCAGACACGTTTTGATTCTTGTTCTGTGACAAAAAGGACCCTCCTACATGTTGCTGTTTCAAAGTCTCTTGTCCATCTGGTTGCAGACAGATGGATGATGCTGTTTGCAGGAGACACTTTCCCCGGATTCATCCACAGGCTTTAAGTTGGAAAAACAAATCTAAGGAAAGATGCACTGAGAGAAGGGGATCCAAATCTAGATCTCTGGAAGTGTGAAAGCTGCTGCCCAAGAGGGGAAAATTCATCACCAGCCTAGCATAGAGAAGAAGGAAAAGAAGGAAATCAATCATGCAGCAGTGACAGGCTGACAGAACACGTCCCTCCCAGCCCAACGCAGCACAGAGAGCCTGGGAACCCAGAAAGCCATACAAAAATATTAGAATCAAGCAAAATAATCAGCACTTCTGGCTAAAGAAATGCTGGGAAGGAAACACTGATCACTACGGAGAGGCAATGAGCAGCAAGGGAGGGGAGGAATGAACAGTGCTCATCTAACATACAAGTCACGTCTTTTTTTTTTTTTTTTTTTTTGAGGGCAAAGTGGAGAGAGACGCCATGCTCAGGCTGTGCTGGGAACTAATGTGATACCTAGTGAAGATGGCGTATATACAGGTAGGTCTGAACAGCACTGGGGAGGAAATGTCCTCTTTATCTGGGGAGGAGGGAACTATAGGGAAACCAGGTCTGCTCTAACCTAGTATAGAACTCAGCTGAATTTACTAGTTGCATGTTCATCCATCCCAGACTAGTGATTCCCTCTCCCACTAACTGGGAGACTTGAGAGTTAGTTACAGAAAAGGTTAAGTTGTCTAGTGACAGATGCAACTTGTAGCATTATTAATGGTTCTGATTTTTGCACTCAATAGTAATATTTGCTTGTAGAGCATTTAGAAACAAGAACTGTGGCTTATTGGTGGTTGGCAATACTAAGTAGCGTAACAAAACAATCACTTCCAAGATAAGTTTGGGGAAATTGTATTTTGATCGGATCTTAATAAAAAAACAACCAAAAATTGAAAGCATTCCTTCTAGCTATCCGCTGGGTGCATGTTATTTAAGGTTGTCAATACAAATCGGTAAAACAAAAGGAAAGTAACATACTTAGTGTATGAATGTGCTAGTGAGATTCTGTGGATATGGGAGACTTACATTCACACATGTGTAGCTATTATCTATGTGTATGAATGTCTGTACATATATAGGGTGTGTGTGTTTGTGTGTGTGTAAGAGACAGAGGTTTGATGCTTTATAGCACCGTGTGTGCAACTGTGCCCTGAGTGAAACAGAAGAACAATTTTCACAAGACACCCTTGTTGCTGCTCTATGTGCCATGATCCGTCTGTTAACTCCAGGGTTCAGTTCCTGGGACTGAGAGTGGTGTGTGAGCAAGAGCAGCCTGGTAGACGGGACTGAGAGCAGCTGGGGTGCTCTAACAACCCCAGCCTCTATCCATCCACCTAATGTTACCATGGATGCTTCTCCTGCTAATTGCTGAGCTGAGGAGAGCTTGCTGCTGCTGGGCAGCAGATGGAGATCCAGGCAGAGCAGCCCCCAGAGATACAAATAGAGTGGATCTGGGACTCTCAGCCAGAAGGGCATGAAAGGGCAGAGCTTCCTGATAGTGTTGGCTGGCTATGTGACTCCGTGCCTGCAATCCTGTGAAATGTCAGCATGGAAGAGCCCCGTGGAGGTCACGTGGAGCCTTGAGGACCACACTTATATGTGGCCCCCTTCACCTGTGAGCACCGAAAGGAGCATCCCTGTATGCATTCAGTGATCACTGTAAATCCAAAAGCCAGGTCCACACATTCTCTCTGGGATCTTGTGGCGGCACAGAGAGGTTCAAACACCCATCTGGGGTCCTCATGCAAAGGTCAAAACAGGGCTTCCCGAACACAGTGGAGATTGAACATGGGGGGCTAATTTGCATATGGGATGCCCCCCAATTGGGCACCCCTGCAAAGAGAGCATACTGTGATTGCTCCCTTAGTAATTATATGCCCCTTCCCTGTTGGGCACAGGGTTTAGGTTTCCTAGAGCACATTCCGCATTTGCAATAATGAGTATAGCAAACCCAAGTGTTTCAGACTCATGAGTCAGGCCCCCTGGACAGTTGAGTCATTGACAAGGTAATACCTGTTGGGTTCTTTTTATTTGCCTGCTGGCATTTGAGAGTCACATTTCTCAACAACCCTGCAGGCTAGAAACTTCCTTTAAAACAACAAAAGTGATTCTCAGGCACTAATCTGGGGCGAGGGGATGGAGCGAGGGGATGAAGGCAGCTGCGGTGAATGATAGGTTGGGCATCCAGAGCTAATGGAAGGGCCTGTCACCAACAGGTGCTGTGGGCTGGGGTCCAGTCCTGTAGTGTGTGAAACTCTGGAGTTAGCACTGGCTCCAGGGTTTTTTTTTTATTAAGTGGCATCCTCCTAGTGAGTTCCCTGTTGGTGTTACCCCCAGGGTTCCCTCCACAGATGCCACATGGAGTGTGATACAAGTCCCACCAGGGCCTATATTGGGGGGATTCCCCCCTCTTCTCCTGCCCCCCGCTGCATTCCTTAGCTGGCTGACCCCGCTGTAGCACACGTTGGTGGCAGGTGGTTCCGTGGGCTGCCTTGTACATGGAGGTGCCAGGGGATCCCCACCCTACCTGCTTCCTTTAACCACTGGCTGAGCCCTCTCCTGGGCAGCAGGCAGTTTGCAGGGCTCACCTAGGATCTTGCCCCCACCTACCTCAGAATGCCCCCCCCCACTTTGCTCCTCCACCCCCCTTTATCAGATGCACAAGTCCCACCATGCCCAGAGCCTGCTGTCCAGTGGGCTCTTCCAAAGGCCGGCT